CTTGTCATAGGTTTTATTAAAGAAAGAGAATAAATCAAATTTCAAAAAAATCGGATGAAAGTTTTGACTTAGAGAGAAGCATGAGAAGTTTAGAGTCTCTTTTTTGTGATTTACGGTAACTTTGGAGCTGATGCTTTAGTCCATGCAGCCTAACATTGTAAATGCTGATTAGGAGATCTGTTTTAGGTCACCAACCCATAGTTACAAGGTGCCAATATAATTGAAAATTACAAAAATCAATTGCCCAACATGAAACTATGTTCTTAATATTACATTGTTGAATATTTCACAGTGATACCTGCTTATCGTACCTTACAAATTTGAAAGCGGCCCCTCCAAGATTTTAGGGTGATCTCAGCTCTCTTTCATATTTCAATGATAGATAATAGCTGACTGTACCGATTGTTTTAATTCCATTTATTCATCAGTGCTCACTTATATGCTCCACAGAACTGCCCTCAGAAATCCGCAATAATGCATAAAATTCAGTTACATTTAACTCAGTTGGTGATGGAATTCCTTGGAGTTTCTTGCTTTGCTTCTCCGAAGTATGGGACATCACCTCCGGAGCCTTCCTCGGAGGCGATCAAAGATGCCTTGATCAAGCATGAAATTTACAAGGATTTGGGCTATGTCAATTATCCAAAACATTTACTACAGGTAAAAGATACAACTAATTTTAAAAAAATTCACGGTATCATTTAATACATCTGCATATTTCAGAGAACTACAAATTCATGACATAAACGCTAAATTCGGTGAAAATAGTCAATACCAATATCTAGGATTCAATATGAAAATAGACTCTGGAAATAGTTGGTGCAGGGGGTCACATTGTCACTTGGATCAGGTCATAATTTTTGGATCTATCGTTTTCGCTTTTAGTGACGCCATTGGGATACAACAAATTCCGCAAAAAACTGTGATAAAAAATTGACAGAAACTATCAAAGGTTTAATTTTAATTTTCGGCCCACAACAGGTTAACTTTGCAGAGCATCATCTTCAGCTGGGCACGAGGGTGCCACCAGATCTAGCGCTCATGCCCCCGGACGGCATCAACTATACACACTACGAAAAACGTGGATATTATGCTTTACTTACGGTCGGTAAGAAGTGACAGATTCGTCTTTTCTACTCATGCAAGTAAGGATGTAATATATTAAAGAATGTTGCGTACATTTAGCAACAATTAGAACTATTGAATAACTATTCAACTTCACAATAATACTATTCATGATAATACTGTGGATATGGCTTTATTCACACGGGTTTATAGCGTTACAAAAGCGTATGTATATAGAACTATGTTACCACGGAGACACAGTAGGATTAGCATTCGTAGATACATCAAATAATTTTATCCTGAAACAAAAATTATCTCCGTTAAATTCTATTTTCACAGCTGAGATGCTGGCTATTCTCGAAGCAATTAGATATGTACAAGAACTTAGTTCCTGTAACAATGATACCATCAATTACGTCATATGCTCTCACTCTCTTTCCTCACTCCGCACCTTGAAATACAACCCTACTAATCATCCCTTTTCAATGTTAATCCATGATACTGTTCATTCCTTATTGGCCAATGGCCACTCCACCTCTTTTATCTGGGTACCGGCTCATATAGGAATTCTGGGAAACGAAACAGCGGACAGAGCAGC